AAACTTTTCACAAAACCCTCTCCTAAATGAATAACGCCTACACCCCTTAGCTTTAGAGATTGCCCATGAAACAACAGTCCCTATGGGAAATCTCTGGAGTTGAAAGCTTTCTCACCCACCCTTTGCTGCAGCAGGCTCTTCAAGACAGGCAGATTGAATGACTTGGCACTGTCTTGCTGTCAAGTCAGTAGAAGGGACTATATGATGACCTAATGGAAGTTTTGCAGCCCTTTCTACCTATAGACACTCTCAAATCATCTTATGCAGCTGCCAAATTCATTTGCAGGAGTGAACAACTGTCTTGATGCTTGTCAAATGTTTCCGTTGCCAGTATAGCCCAGTATATTCAGTGATGGGTAACATACCCCATCCTATCTGCTGAATCGTCTTACAGTTTATCATGAGCACAGGGGTAACAGGGTTTCATTTTAGTTTTGATTCAAATCTTGCACTTGTCCTCTTGTTCTCTAAGACTTTCAGGCTCCTCGGTGATTGAAAATGCTAACCCCAGGTCTCTGCAGAGCTGGTTTACTTGCGTATTACTAAATAAGAACAGGAGTCCTTCAGACTTATCCTGGGGCTACCACTTTGTGGGCAGAGCACATTCACAGGGCTTAGCAGTCTGTTGATTCGGTATTTTTTGCACTGGAAGGTCCCAGCCTGAATCACTTAAGCTGGTGTCATTCCCTTCAACATTCATGTTTGCTGTCTGATCCAAACTGCATCTTTCAAGACAGCTTCTTTCTTAGGGCATCCTTAATTCTCTCAGATGTCTTTCTGCCTTTGAATCATGTGCTTTATAGTGATTCTTTTTTTATGTCTGTCATGGACAGATTCTTCCTCAGTTCTGTGTGACAAAGGATCCTCCCTCTCCCTCTAACATGTTCCCCTGATTTAAGACATTCTTTTCAGGGTATTCTGTCTCATAATGTGCCTAAATTTACATGGGCTGTTATTGGCCATGATATAACTTGTAAAATTTGTGCCCACTGATCTTTTTCAGCAATTCACAGTAATTTGGCTACTTTAATCCCTGATTGTGTTATAGCTGTGATTAATTAATCTAAATAGCTCTCCAGATTGGACTGTTTTTATCTTTTTGGTAGTAATTCTTGACTTTTTCACAGCAAAACCCCTGAATTTACCTGTTACCTGTAGTTCTAAGTCTTATTTCCCAACTGTTGAAGTTCTGCAAACTTAGCAAGGGGCTGTTGCTTGGATTTTGAATAATCATGCTGATTTTTCTTTCCCTGGTCAAATCTTCTGATCGCAGCTGAATCCCAAATGCAAAACTCTTCTGTTTTCAGAATTCTGAAATTGGTGAATTCCACCTTAAAAATATGAAGGATAAATGAGCTGTACCTTGTCCATAGGATTAAAATGGGAAGTATAGAAGACAGTGAAGTGATGTGAGGGGTGCCTGTATGTTTATTTTCTTCAGCAGTGACCAGAATTTCCTCACTGCTACCTGTGGTTTGTTGTCCCCTCGGTTGTGTTAACACAAGTCTTTAAGAATATGGTTTGCAATTCACCCTAAAATCATCCAGATAAGAGGCTGAAAAAACTTCCTTTTCGTGAATTATTTGTCCTGTGGCATATTGGATCGAGGAACTACTAACCCAGCTCAGAAAAAATTATTAATGTGAGGACAAATCAGTTCCCTGATCTGAGTTGCTCAGAAGATTTGTCAGTGCTCATACCAGCACAGTGAAGGGGCAGGGACATGCCACAGGTGGGGGGAGGCAGAAATTACTGTTTTGGCAATGTCCCACATTTATGTTGACTTAAACCAATTATTAAATTATTATGCTTGCAAAATAAATAAATAAATAAATTGATTATTCTATAGCTGGATCATCTTGCTGAACTGGCTGTGTTGTGTAAGGGCAAGTGTTGGTGGTAGTAGTAGTTGAAGGTGTAGGATGAAGGGTGGATTGTAGAAACTTTTTTTTTGTAATTGTCTTGGAGCTACACCTATCGTTTCAGCTCAAAGTCTGTATGTATCATTAATATCCAGGCTTTCCACTTTCTGTGATTTCTCATCCAAGTACTGGTATGACCTTAGGCTGATGAGCAGAGCTATTTTAAAAAGGAAAAAAAAAAAAGAAGGAAAAAATCTTGGTCGGCAGCCAGCTTCATTTTTTACAAGGGTTATTTAACACTCATGCAGAACAATATGGAATTCAGACATTCCATCAGGCACTTGCTCAAGAGAAAACTTTATAGCAGTATTTTGCTATAATTACATGAGTGTGGAAACTTGGTGTCTCTAACAACACTAAGAGTAAAGTGATAGAGTGATACAAGTTTAGATAGGTCTCATATAAGGAGTTGCTGCATCTGGTGGCTCATTATAGAGGAGACTGCTGCAGCTCCCTGTGGTCAGGACCATAAGGATGTATCCCTAAGCAGCACATGTTGCACACTGTATGTGTATATACAGCCAGACATCACAAAATGCAGCACTTACACGAACACAAGCAGCTTCAATGGCCTCATCCTTTCCTTTCACTGACTGACTGTGATGAAAACTGTTTATGGGAAATACTTATGTACATGACGTGGGTCCAGCAGCAAGTGGCCTTAAATTCTTATTCTGCTCAGTTACTGGCCCCTGGATCCCCTCGCCTCCCAGTTGTCTCACAAACATGCATTGGGTCTCTCCGGCAGCTGGTCTGGGCTTATGACCTTGCCAGTGGCCAGTCCCCAGGTGCCCTGGTGTCCCTCCAGCAGCCGAATCTCAGGCCTTCTGGTCTCTGCAGAATCTGGCCCAGACTCACGGTCGCTCCAATTCTTTGCTCCCAAGCCTACTGCCTGGCTAGTCTGGCTTGGTGTTTGCCAGAGGTCACACACACAGGTATCCAGGCAGTGTGCCTGGGCTCCAGCCTCTCTGCTTGCCAATGCTTTCAGCACCTGGCCCGCTGTGACCCGTGGCACAACTCCAGCTGCTGCTTCCATACATTGTTACACAGAACGAAGATTCCCCACACACAGGAAAATAGTTTGTTGCAAATGTAGTGTAACAAGAAGCTAGTACAATCTGCAATGATCAGGTGCAGGGCATGGATGAACAACCATACTGAGCAGCCACCTGCTTACTACATGCACCTGGTCCCTCTTATGCCTTCCCCCCCCAGTATCTTCTTGCGATTGTTCTGTCCCAAGCCACTTCCATGGTTTACCCTCCCTTGTCTTGCCTTAATTTCTTTCTATAAATATCTCGTACTGTCTTCTGCAATCCCAAAATACTCTTCCTGGCATCTCACAATGAGTCCCCACCCAGTGGGTAGTAAGCTCCTCCTTCAGTCTGCAAGGTGGCCTAGAGAGAACCCCTCCTTGGAACTTGTCCCTCTGGGTTGCACCCTCGGCCCTGGGAGCAGCCTAACTGAGGGCTTGGTTCCTTTCATTTGGGTTATGTGGGTTTCTCTGCCTGACACTTTTCAGCTGTGCTCCTTGTGTCTGTGGGGAGGAACCTTTAATCACACAACCGTATAGTGACTTCTTTTTTTACTAAAAAGTCAAGGGACTGGGTGGGCACTGCACAACTGCTTCAACAGCACACTGTACAGCGTGGCTTGCCCCTCTGACTATTTAATTCTGACACTGCCAGAGCCTAAACTACCTGAAGCACATCCTTTTTTTTTGTTTGTTTGGTTGGTTGGTTGTTTTTTTTTGTTACAGAATAACAATGAAGTGCATAAACTGGGGGGGGGGAGGGAGGGTGGGAAGGATAACCACCAGCTTTCTACTCTTAATATTAGTAAAGTGCAAACTGAGAGGAAATAGGGAAGGATTAGGTGTTTAAAAGTGATGGTTTTCATATAGTGCTTCTAACCACAAGAGTATTTTGTTTCTCAAATTTGAGTATAATAGGCTTCAGACTATAAAATGCTTTATTTAATCTTGGCTTGAAAGCAATTCCAGCAAAGTGGACTGGTCCCAATTTCGTTGGGTGGTACAGGAAAGCCAAGTCTCAGAAAGGGTTCCAGAAGTGCTTGTTATTCTAAATGCTAATTGATTTTCAGCAGTTAAAAGTCTCCTTTTGTTTAATGTGAATTTCTTGTTTTGAATGCGGCTTGTGTCTACTTTGGGTTTTCTCCCCTTAGAGCAAACAAGTTTATACCTAGATCTTTATAGCCTTAGGATATTTCAAGCTATATAATTAGTTCTCTTTCCTTCCCCCCCTCTCCCCCCACCCCTCCACCCTGCTTCTAGGCTCCCTTGTTTTCAAGGCTGAACATGTTAAGCTTAGGAAGCTGTTGCCACTATCTCAAATGGTGTTTGTTTCCACCCTCCGGACTCTTTCAGTGGACTACGTAATTTTTCAAACTTAGTTTTTGCTTTTTGTGTTTGAGAGCACCTCTCCTTCCGTCTGCAGGTTTTTCTCTTTCTCTCATTTGTTGATTTAGTTTAGACCACACAAATGTAAAGCCTTGCATGCGTTATTATGTGAAGACTTGGCTTAAGGTGATACGTTGTTGAGCAGGGCAGACATTAGGAATGCAGGCACGTCTTGCTAACAAAAATAAGGTTTTTTTGTATCCTGAAAGAATGCCTGGATGTGTTATAATAGAAGTCGTTTGTCTGCTGGTGGATACTGGAAAACCCCGGTACCCTCACGCTGTAAGGCACTCGGTGAATCCGTCACGGCTCGGCCGCAGCCCTTGTGCCTCCTGGCAGCCCGCGGCCGAGGGGCGATGCCGCGGGCCGGGGCTCGCCGGGAGCCGCCTCAGGGCCGGCGCGGCGGCGCTCGGGGCCCCCTCGCAGCGGGGCGTTCGTGCCGCTCCCGCCGGTGCCAGAGCCCGGCCGGGGAGCGCAGCGGGCTCTTTAAGAAGCCCCCGTGTCGGTGGCTGTCGCCGGCTGCCAAGTGCAGCCGGGAGAAGCCGAGCTTTGCGGCGAAGCCCGAGCGTAACCAGCCGGCTGGGGGAGATGCCGCCCCGCGGTGACTGACAGCAGGACCAGCTCTATGCAAATGGCGCCGGGGGCTCTGCCGGGGCTCTCTCCACACGCCGCCGCCTCTCGCCTCCCGCGCCCCGTAACGCGCCGAGCCTCGCACAAAGCAATTGTTGCTTTTTTGGGGGACGTCGTTTTACACGTAAAATCATCTCCAGCAGGGTTTCAGTTTGAGATACGTGTGAGGGAGCTGGGGAGATGTGTCAGAGCTTGTTACTCAAGCTAAATTAGGTAATTTTTAGCTGGGTAACGTGCTAATCTTTAAACCTTTATGTTTCTAAATCCTGCGTATGTCTGCTCTCTTCATACAAAAGTGTATTTTGCTTGTTTCTTCTCGCCTTCTTCAGTCTGAAGCCTTATGTAGGTCAGGCTTGGCTTAAGCAGATTTCCTGAACCTGCGTCAGCTTAAGCTGAAGGAATTTTAATAAACCCTCCCTTGTAGGCGTGGGCCTAAATGAGACTAGCCTAGTTAAGCCTGATCTTTTTCTGTTTGTGAAAAAGAGCTGAGCAGAGCTAGGGACTGCATGGTGGCTCCAGGAACGGCTTCCTTAATTCAAAGGTAACAATGGTTGGGAAGGCCAGATCTTCTAATTTTACCTTATCTGAAAAGCTCGATTTGCTAAAACTCGTGAAGCCGTACGTTAAAATTCTCGAGGAACATACCAATAAGCATTCTGTAATAGTGGAAAAAAACAAATGCTGGGATATCATAGCTGATAACTACAATGCCATCGGAGTAGATCGCCCTCCTCGTACTGCACAGGGCCTGCGCACGCTGTACAAGAGGCTCAAAGAATATGCCAAACAGGAGCTATTGCAGCAAAAGGAGACTCACTCAGATTGTCAAAGCAGCATTTCCGAGCCAACCAAGAAAGTTGTGGAGATGATTCCACAGATTTCCAATGTGTGTTTAAGAGACAGGAGCGGTGTTCAAAGGTGAGACAATTCTTTTTATTTTGTTACTGAATGAAAATTATGGCGCCTCCTATCTACTGTGTAACGCTTATGCTTATGCTCAGGCTCCTAGAGGAAATGTTTATCAGAGAAAATTCCCAAATGGGGAACAATGACAAAAATAATACTGCTTTTGTTTTATGGGAAGCTTTATGGTGACTTAGCACTGCATTCTTTTTTTTTGTTTTTTTGTTCAGCTCTCTTTCAAAGCTTGTTTCAGAGTCTTTGTCATACTCTGGAAAGTGAGGGTTAAGAGAGAATCAAAGGGAAATAGTAGCTCCAACCTCTACCCCTCCCCTACCTTTTAATAGGCAGATTATTCAAACACTAGCAAAGTGATGGCTATTCTCCTCCATTTAAGGTAATACTGCAGTCATTTTGCAACATATGGAACTGTTAGCAGTTTATATAGGATATTTAATAAAGTTAGTTCACAGATCTAAGAAACCTCACTCACACATCTTTTTTCTTTCATGTACTCTGGTGTTTGCATGTTACATTTTAGCTGATTCCAACCCTTTAAAAAAAAAAAAAAGCCTCCACACTGCAGTGCCTTTGTGAGTGCAGATGTTTTTTTAAATTATACTTTTCTTGCATTGACGGTGGTTCCCTGAAGCTGGAGCAAAGCTAACTGAAGTCTTAACTCCAAGCAGTTCTGTGTCTTACATGAGGTAGTTTAGATAGAAACTAAGAGGTACAGCACTAGAAGTTTTCTTTTTTTCTTTTTTTCTTTTCTTTTTTTTTTTGGTAGGTTTTTTTTTTTTTTTTTTTTTTTTTTTTACTGCTCAGTAAAGTGAGACACACTGTCTAGATTTGAGCCAGACATAATACAGGCAGGCAGCGTTCAGGCTTTCTCCCACAGCTGGCTAATGCCCCTCATATCTGACTTGCAACACTCTGCTGGTTCTGTATTGGTCCTTGAGGGATCAAAAAATGCCTGGGTCAGGTTTTGGTTCCTGCAGATACAAAAACTAAGCTGGGGGGGGCAGGGTGGGGAGTCACATAACTCCCCAGCAACCTTGAGAAAGCTCTGATTTTTCTTATTTTCCCAAGCAGATTAATGGGAAGCAAACTTTCCGTATTTTAATCAGATGTGCTGACAGTGGGTGCAGCAGCGTAACACTCTAAGAAAAGCTGGCATGCGCACACTCGCTGAATTGGACTCATGGTGCCACTGGTTGAACTGAATGGTAACAATTGTCTAAATCCCAACATGCCAGATGCTCTAAAAATATGCTGTTGTGGGTCCTTTGCGTAAAGAAGTCTAAAGCAACTGGGCTGTGCTGCTGCTCCTGGTGAATGCCCCTGGAGGAACCATTCCAAAGAATTCTCTGGAACAAAACGAGGCTTTTAATTGCGCTAATAAAGGTTGCAGTGTCTTGACTACCAACTTTTGTAAGGAGGGGAGAGAAAAAATAGTGTGAGAACTTTGGTTTGTAGATCGGCTTATAAAAAGCACTGACGCTTTTAGTGAATGATTAAGAGCTAATGATCTCCCTAGTTTGTCTCCTATAATTTAAACATTTTTTGCAGTTCTTTATGGGTCTGGGAACATTGACTTGATTACTGCTTACCCAAAATGGTTCATCTTAGGAACAACCACTACACTGTGTGCTGAAAGAAAAGAATATAATTTAAAAGATTTTTTTTTTTCCTGCCCAAATAGATCATTGCTTGATACTTCTATTTTTAACTCTGAGTTGCATTTTACCCTAATTTTATAAACCCTGTATTGGGTTTTAACTCACCGGGATGTGGTTTAGGTTTTGTAGGAGGGAAATACAACTAAAAATGAGTCCAAATTCTTAATCGCACGTTTAAGCAATTTCTAGCTCACTGTGATGAAACAAAACCTGGTGAATCATGGGTGCCTGCAGGGTTATAAACACCATGCCCCAATTGTGGTAACTGTTGTTTGTCTTTCTTTCAGTCAAGTTGTCAGAAACAACATTAGTAACCACCATACAGGCAGCTCTTTTGTTTCTCAATTCCTTCTTTCTCTCTTTGCTGTCTAATTGTTTTCCTCTTAAGAGGCTGACTAAGGGGGAAAAAAAAAAGCCTCATCAGAGTTACCTGAAGATTTGGTAATGTTTTAGTTCTGTGTGAATTACACTTTGAGAGATGGATTTTTTTCACTGCTTAGAGGTTCTAGTCTATGTTAGACTAAATCTTACCTTTCTTCTATTTAACCTCTCTCACTTTCTCTTTCTGCTCTCTCTCCGTTTCCTTTTGTCAGAATGACCTGCTTCTCCTGCTGGTTGTTTCCTATTTTCTCAGGCTAGAAGCTGGCTGGGAGCCAGCAAATAAGAAGGAGGGAAGCTGTATTAGAAGCTGCAGTTGGGAAGAGGGAGGAAACCCGGAATTAAAGTCAGCACTGGGGAAAAAAAAAGTGAAAATTTGTGTTCAGAATAATTCTTCCGATGCTCAATGAGAGGAATAAAAGGAATGTGAAAAAGAAGTATATAGGGAAAGGTGAAGCTTTGTGGCATGAGGAAGAGGCAGTAAGGGGATAAAATTGATACTCCATAGGCAGTTCAGGTAACAGGCAATAGAATTAAGATTATCTTGGCATTTTGTTTGGGGGATTAAGGAAAGGTCAGTTTTCAATACCTGCTTCAGATGGACTGTTTTCAGGGTTTTTTAAAAGAATCTTCAGTTAAAATAGTTTGTGTGGTTGACAGCTTAATTTTTTGAAAATACATTGCTCTGACTCTGATGAGCTTTTTTACAACTGATTATTGAGAAGCTTTCATGCTTTTATTCTAGCATGAATTCTAGCATTGAATCTAGTATTTTCATGTTAATGGATGGCAGGCTAGTCAGGGTCCTTTGGAAATTGCAACCATGACTGCTTGTTTCTTTTACACCAAGAGTTTTGAAGACTATGGGATATCCAAAGTTATGATCATGCCGCCTTTTTATTAAGGAGGCATTTACATGAGAATAGGTAGTACAAATTACATTTCTTCTTGCTTATGGGAATTTGAACCCAATCTATTACTAACCAGGACAATGTTTTAATAATCAGATAGTGCATGGATTGTAGGGCTTTCAAGACATTTAAAAAGTGAAAAAAAAATCCCTTTCCACCCTCCCAAATTAATAGCAACTTGGGTCCTTGTGTTGGGGAGCATCCGTGAATATTCTGTTAATCATGGATCCACTCACTGCCTTTAACTGCTATAGTGGCTGCCTAGTTTTCAAAGGGTTGGGAAGTGTCTCAAATCTGCAACCACCAGTTGTAGACCCTGTTTTAGACAGCCATGGCCATGAGGGTGCACTGGCTTCACTGTCAATACCAAGTTAATATATTCCTGTTCCCATGTTACACTATACTGCCTTCCCAGTCATGCTGCAAGTATTTATTCTTTGCAGATCTGTACTGTAACAGATCAAGAGGCTGATCTGGCTTAAAAAAGCATTACCTGAATAAAGGAGTGATGTGCAGACGTGTAGGGTTTCAAGCACAACTGATGGTAGAGAAGTGTCAGGAACAGCTTGAACCATTATTATCGTCAAAGCCAATGCAATGTCAAATCATGATTTGAGATGCTGCTGACTCAGGGATTTACACAAAGACAGATGAGTAAAGTGGGCGTTGTTCTTTCGAAAGGAAATGCACAGAGCCATAGGCTTTCTTAATGGAAACCCTGCAGTGTCTTCTCTTGAAGTTTCAGAAAAACATTAAGATTGCCAATTCAAAGAGAAGGAGCAAGGATTAGCTTGATTCCCAAATTGACTGGCAAAGTCATCATTTGGGCTCTGGTTTCTTCTCCCATGACTCTTTGTATAATTCCATTTAGTGATTATTGTACCTTTTAAAAAAACCCAAATACTTGGGTGCATGGGTCAGAAAGAGGGAGCACATTAGAACGGGGGAGATTATGAAGTTTGTGAGATGAAAATATTTCTCTTCACTCAATCTCAATCTCCTTGTAAAATCATGTTATATATTATATAACTCTTTCCTGTGTTACTTTCATGACTTGCTGCATGGGTTTTTTATCTTTTCATTTGTCACTACTAGCCTTCCTTGCTTCTCCAGTGCCAGAAGGGCCTCCCAAGGGGAGTTCTCTATTGGCTGTACTGCCTTTATAGCAATAGATTCTGACTGTGATGTGGCTGTGTGGTGGAAAGAAAAAGGGATACAGGTGGTGTTCAGGCAATGAAGTAGAGGGTCCCAGGCATAGATAGCAGAGTAGTATTCAAATGAAGTTTTGGTTACTTACAGCTATGCCTTTCCAAATAGTTTTTAATGGATTATTTAAATATGATTTTATGTGTTCTAGTGCTAGTATCGATAAAGAAACAATTGCTGGTACCAGTTCACCACAGGCAATGTTGGATCACCATCCTGCGACAGTCATGATGGACTTGCAGTCGGAAGAGGATGTCAAACCTCCTCCTTCTTTGATTATAGACTCACAGCAAAATGAGAACTTAGAACAAGAGGAAGAACACCAGCTGGTGCATATTATGGAAAGGTCTCCTTCAACATCAGTATCTTCAGTTGATATGAGAGTGATGATGTCTCCATCCCCCGTACCAAGAAGAGATGAGTTTTTTAGGCTTGAGGTTGGAGACCGCTTTAGACCAATGTGTGGTTATGACCCACAGATGTTACAAATGCTGAAAGAAGAGCATCAGATAATATTAGAAAACCAAAGAAAAATTGGTCTTTATGTCCAGGAAAAAAGGGATGGTTTGAAAAGAAAGCAGCAACTGGAAGAAGAACTGTTGCGAACAAAAATCAAAGTAGAGAAGCTGAAGGCAATACGACTACGGCGTGATCTACCAGAATACAGCAATATCTAAATATTTTATTACTTCTGTCATATTCTTTGATATTCTTAATAATAAATGCAGAATTGTTTCTTATGTTAATATGGATGGATCAAAATCTGGGCTTGAGACATGAAAGCATATTTTCCATGTTGTTGTTTATGTACCTTAGAAAAATACCTCGTATACGTTTGAATGCACCAACTCTTCTGGTCTAAAATAGTCAAATCCTGTACATTTAAGTGTTTAGATTGATAAAAATCCAAACTTTTAAAATATTTCCACTTATCTCTATTGGAGTAGTGATGAGCTAATGAAATTTAGTCAGGTCTTGTTAAAATTTTGTTCATATGCATTATTTTTTCAAATAATCACCTTTACTATCTTGATGAAGTTACAGGTTAATAAATACATATAAGAAGGAGAAATAAGAGGTTATGTTTAAATGTCTTTTTCAAGTTGGTAAATCTTACAACAGTGGTGGGATTTTGCTGACATATCAGCTTGGAAAACAAAATGACTGGATTGTTATATTTTTTTAATGTTCAGTAGACAGTTGAATAAATGTACATATTTTTAAAAGTTAATACTTTTTAATTGTTTCCAGTGGAGGAGTGTTTCCACAGGATATTATAAAAATAGAGACAATGAATGCAACACTTGGTTTTTAAAACTGCATGCATGTGTAATTTGTGTGTACAGTTACCATGATCGTATATTCAGTTATAGTAATTATGCTGGTGATCAACCACATAAATGTCTGATTTCCTCTTTTGCATGCATAATGACTACAGTGCATGTGCAACCAAGACAGTTGCAGGTGCCTTTGATCAGTATCACTAGGACTATAAGCTACTGAAAAGAAATCATTTCTGTATGTAAGTAACATGTGACTTGAAATCAACAGGATTCTGTGTTATTCTGGGTACCTTTTATAGATGCTGTTGTTCTGATCTTTCGATTAGTTTCAAATAAAAAGCCTCAAATAAAAATAAAATTGATTCTTCTGTCTGTCCTAGCAGCAGCTGTTTCCTCTGTAGTTGTGATCAACGTTTATAACTGGAAAAAAAATATCTGGAAAACATCAGTCCCAGATGATTCATTTCTTCATAATTCTAAGTCCTGCCTGTTATGAATGGATCCACAACTGCCTTAGACCTCTGGCTCCTTATTCCCCATAACAATACTTTCCCCTTCCTCTAACCTTTAGCACAAGAAAAGGAAATGAAGCGCAGGATCAAGAAAAAAGAGAGAACAAAGGAGATGTAATTCCTCCTGTACCTCGCATCTCAGAGGGCCCCAACAACAGTGAACAAAAGCAATAGGAAGGAGGAGGCTGTTTCTTCCTTGCTCCCCTCACCAGTGTTTTCCCAAATTTGCTTCCTTCTCCACACCCACAGAACCTCAGCATACAAGCATGAGGCACTGATCTGCATCAGCAGATTCTGAATGAGGTAAGCTCCTCATGTGTCTTCTGAGTGAACCAGGTTACCTTTGTAGCCACGGGGATAGGTGCTTATTGAAAACTATGAAGACTGGGAGAATGTGAGTTTAACTGAGGGGCTAGTGGAGCTTCAAGAATTGTAGTTAAATTTTGTGATAGTAGACAAGAGGCTTGATCTTGACTGTCAGGGCCCAGGATAACTTTAACAGGTTATAGGTAGGAAAAGTTGAGGAAACGAGTCTTTTGTTTACAAACTGAGGAAAAATACAGAACAGTGAAAACAGATGTTGGCAATATGGAGTTCCCCAATACTTTTTCATTTGTTTTCTAGAGAAGAGAACACTGTAAGTGCCTTGGGAATTCTTGTATGCAGTGAAAATTATGGTGCCTGGATAACTGGTCGTTGTTTCTGTACAGTTCTTGGCTTTCTGCTGTATTTTTTAGTTCAAGGACATTGATCTGTTTTTGTGTAGGTGGCAACATTTCAATGAGACATTGACTTCCTTGAGTTCACAAGAATCAAAATGCTGCCTTTAATAAATAAATAAGGATTTTATTTGTTCTACTTCTCAGAAATGGGAAACAGCACTGAATTACCTGCCCTCATCTTGTAATTTGGAAATGTCTGATCTTATTCTTTTAGTTGAAAATCAGAATTCTGTTTTCCAGTGGTAAGGAATTAATTTCTATTTCTTGTTTCTGTTCTTAGACATTATGCAAATGAAAAAAATTTTAATAGTTCAGAAAATAATTCCCATACAATTCATTGTCTTGCAGTGGTTTTGAATTACAGCCAGTCCAGTGTTGACCACCAAAATGCTCCAGAGATTAAAGAATATTTTCTGTTGATGCTAGATGAAGAGGTGACCTCCAGGGTTTCTATTGGCATGGTATTTTTATTTCGAGGACTAGAACCAGAGGAATTTCCAGTCTTGGAAAGCTTACAGTCTTTTCTGAACTGGCAGGCAAAGTAGTTGCAAAAATAGGACTGGGTAGAGCAAAGTCTCTTTTATGTTCCTGATATTGTAAGGGGAGGAATGCAAATGAGTAAAGAAATAGAATACACCAACCTGGTCAGAACTGTGCTCTTATGGTCAGTGTTCTTCCATGTTTGGTTGTTCTGACTTTGTCTCATTTGTTAGTGGAAAGGCTTTCATTCTTATCTTCAGGCAGCAGCTCTAGTTCAGAGATCTCTCATGCTTCTTGTTTGCTTTGTTCTCAGTTTTGTTTCTTTTGGTTTTTGGGGAGCTTGGGCAAGGGGGAGATGTCTTTTGAGTCCCCTTGAATCTTGCTCATTTCTTTACTAGTGAGGTGGTTTATTTCCTTTCACTAGAGATGTGTTTCCTCCTTTAGTGAAATTATATTGCTCTCTCAGAGGAGTGTGTTGCTGACTATTATACCCTCCATGCTGGTGGATCTGCATTTCTTTCTCACTCCACATCTGCTTTACAGCATCAAGTTATCTGTCTGAGTCAGACTTCTCACTTCTCTGTGCCTGTTCCTGGGTTTTTTTCCATGTATTCCTAATGTCGGGTACATGCACCACAGCTGTGTCTGGTCCTTCTGGACCATGAAGTGCTATGAATTTTTACTGTTGCATCAAATGACACTGTGTTAGTGTGTATGAAAGGGATGGTAGGAAGCCCTTCCCTCCTTCACCCTCATTCTTATCCTCTTACTCCCTTCACTACATCTGGCAGTGCCATTCCGTGTCTGCATGTTTATAATGTACATAGTACAAGCAGAGTAATTTTAGGCAAGGACAATTTTCTACCATATGTTCATGTCCTTCTACTAAGATAACTGAAATAAACTGGCTCTGGAAGTAATTTAATTCCCAACATCTAACGGATTTATGTTTAGGATTCGAATAAAAAGCTGTAACCATGATAACATTGTGATAATTGTGATAGCATCTTGTGTAATTTCATCTATCTGGGTAATTGTCTAATGATCAGTCTATAATTTCATTGGCTGCTCCCTAATTATCTTGCCTTTTTTTTTTCTCTCCCTGCTTCCCCCCTGTAAGCTTTTGATTCCTGTGGAATCATCTCAGTGGATGTGCTTTCCTTAGATCAGAATTCTTATCAAGTAAAACTGGTAGGAGAGAGTACTCCAAGACCAGGAGAGATTACTCTTAGCTAAACCCCTGTTTTCTAACGTTTTCCACCTCAGTAGCCTAAGTTCCTTTCTTTCATATATATATATATATATTTCTATAGATTTTCAGACTTGGGATTTTTTCCCCCATACAATGAAAACGCATAGACCAGAGCTTGCATACTATCTTCTTTGGGAAGACTTGTGTCCACTTGATTTCCAATAGGCAAAGCTATGAAGTTGCTTATAAATAACGAGAGTTGTTTCTGAGTGGGAGGAACAAGTAAGGAATTGTGATACCCAGGCTGCCTATCTAAACTGCCTTTTAAAATTTCCTGTATCTTATTTTAAAAACTGTTTTAGAATGGTTCAGTGTGAATTTTAACTTCAGTAATGTAATAAAAAGGCTACTCAAGAAGATGATAAAGTGTTGTTTTCCTAAGATGTTGATTACTTTTTCATTTTGCATATGAAAATAAAAAGACTTTAAAAAGATTGTTTTTAACATTAAAATACATTAAATGTAGCTTCTCAGTGTGTATCCCTAACTAGTTGTGCTGCTATTCTGTTTTAAATATCCAGGTCTTAAATAATTTGAGAAATGCTGCTATCTATGTCTTAGATTAAAAAAAAAAAAAAAAAGCACAAAAAAAGGTGCTATTTACAGTAGTTAAAATAATGTCATTAGCTGGCTATATAACACATGACTAAATTTCAGTCATTCTGGGATCTGTTTTATCTCTGATAAAAACAAAGTGCTTGCCTTGGTGTTGACCAAGTTGCCTGTGTGTAGTGATGGTTGGGGCATCCAGTTTGTCTGGGCAAAATGTTCTCCACAATAAAGGTACAATTTCCTGAAGTTCCATTGAGTGCTAGCCAGCAAAATGTGAACTCTTCCTTGCAAAAGCTACAGTTGTTCAGTGGAAAAGTAGTTGAAAACCTCAGTTCCGATCTGTGTGTGGGAAGGTGGATGAGGGTCAGAGAACCCATGGAAAGCTCAGCCATCTGTAGGCATTGGCATTCCCCACTGCCCCTACCTTTTTCCATGCTGTGGGATTTCACACTGTTTTATCCTAGTGATTACACAGAATTATTTGTTGATGTGTTCAAATGTCTCTGAGTGAACATAACACCTTGTTTGACTGTCTTACACAAGAAGAATGTCATATAATTATCACTGAATACTTAGTCAGCAGTTACTCCACATAATATATGATTTTGATTTGCTCTTCAGCAAAACTGCAGACTTGGAAAATGCTACTGAATTTTTTATATTTTACATTTGCAATTAAATTTATTTTTTTAAAGAAGTAATTGTTTCCTGACCATTTCCTTTTGGCTCTTGGTTTTCATCTGTAGTTAGGATAATTGCAATAATTAGTATAATTAAGCATACATGTAGTGAAAAAATAATTCCACTGGATTATATTGCCACTCTAAAATCAGTTGACGTCAGAACTCAGTTTGTTTAAGGCTCAGTCATTTTCACCAAATCACAGAATTTTCTGAGTTGGAAGGGACCCACAAGGATCATCAAGTCCAACTCTTAAGTAAATGGCCCATATGGGGATCAAACCCACGTCGTTGGTGTTATTAGCACCACGCTCTAACCAACTGAGCTAATGTCAGGGGTTTTTTGTGTACTGTAGCCTGTGTGTTGCCTTATGCTTACTTTGTTATTGTGTAAAATCCTTGTCTATATTGCTAATGCTTTCTCGAAATATATCAAAGTTTGGAACTTTCTGCATGCTTGAAATAAGTAAATCAGTTTATAAATTACTGGTTTTTTTGTTGTTGTTTCAGCTTTAGTTTAACAGTGAAGCAATAGGACAAAATGTTTATCTAGTTTGAGGATGGGGAGAAGGGATATGGGACTGCCTGTGGTTAGTTACAACAACATTATTCGTGTCCTGCAACTGCGTGAGATAAATTTCTGTAATGTCAAGTTGTATTTGTTATTAATCACTGACGATGTTATATGAAAGAAAGTAATTTATAAGTCTGCAGCAGTTTGCAGGTAAATTTTATGTAGCCCACTTGTCGATACTATTAAGAATATAATTTTGCGAAGTCAGAGCATTTATGTGAGGCGTGTACTGGAAATACAGAATTAAAATCAGTGTGTATCCATTAGTATTGACACATTCTCTGTCGTGGTATGGCATTTGCTTAGCACTGCATTGTAAGGCCCCTACCCCCCAAAAAATTGACTTGTAAGTTCTGCAGATTTCACCTAGGTGATGTTTGGTTCGTCTTGCATTGTAAGGAAGCTTTGGCAGTAGGTTGTACATTGTGATGGACTTCCACATGACATTAGTAGCGTCAACTATCAGTTTGGCCAAACTGCTTTATGCTGTTACCTCCTCTTGGGCTATATTGTGTGTTTTCTGTCTATGCATTTGTGCTTGTTTATGTTTCAGGTTTTTTTCTGTGAAACAGATTACCTGGAGAAAACTCTGTTTAGGAAATACTGAGTTTTGATCATCTTTCCTTTGTAGTCTTCCAGTTTCCTTGTGTTTGTGAGAAAGTACTCAAAATGTGGCATCAAGCTGGTCTTTGGCCATTCCTGTAAAACCTCATTCAAGTTTGTCTAATTTGTAAGTCATTGGCAAACACATAATTTGGTCATTTTTAGTACAAGGTTGTTACACTTTGGATGTAGTCCATAATAACTGAATTCTTAGGAGAGCCTGTCCAGCCTGAGCACATTGAGCTGTTGAGAGGAGATCAAGGACTTCTCAGCTGTGAACGCCTTGAATGAGAGCAAGAAAATACATTCCTCATTTTTGCCACTGACAAAACAGACAGCCTCAATAAAGGAACTACTTTGTTTAGATCCAGAGAGGATGACAGCAAGGATCCCAAGCACAACTGTCCTTCTTTTGGGGCAGTAAGTTTGTAGGAGCTGTTGAACTGCCCAGCTGGATAGGTAATGGCCCAGCTCTTTCGCAAAAAAAAATCAGCGATAGCTTGGAAAATACTGTTTCTAGTCTGGGATTCAGAGTGCTGCACAGTATGTGTGCAGAAAAGGAGTGAATTAGGCTCATTTAGGGAATTTAGCCATTGCTGTTTGTTTTAATTATTTCTGCTAGATAAAATCTATTTCTTTAAGAATAGTTTTTGTTATATAACTGTATATGCTAATTTGCTGTAGTTGAGTTTTGAAAACACGTGATTCCTAAGCAAACTCCTGAGATGGTGCAAAAGATGTTTTTCAACAGTCCAGAAGTGAAATACATTTTAAGAGTTTCAGATACTTTAACTCTGAAGATCTAGTAAGCATCTGTAAAGATTGTTTTCAGATTAAATACAGTAGAG